TTGATGTCCAATACTCTTTGGACGAAACAATACATATCCACTATTTCCGCAATCTGAAAATTCAAATAGTGCATTATACAATGAAAAATTAAGATCGACACAAATTTCGAAAACATTAAGCCCAATTTTTAAAAATCGAACCCTGGCTAACCAAAAAGATACAGTAACGCGTGACTGTAGATTGGATCAAAAGCTATGAGAAGTATATGCTTTTTATGCAAAGAAACAGTGCTGAAATGTTTGGTGATGTGTCTGACTTCAAAATTCGCAACAAAGATTCAAAAATTTCAGAACTTGGACCATAAGAAACACAACAAGTTTCAAAAACAGTCAAAAAAAACATACAACTTTGGCAAACGGTTTGCCGGTACCATGACCATCATTTAGTTCCACGCGAGCTATCAGCGGCTTCTTCTGGTAGCCCTGGGATGCACGAGCAGCTTCATACAGTCGAGCCATGTATTTCAGAGTATGTGCGGGAATAACACGATCATCGTGGTCCGCAGTCATAAGCATCGTTGAGGGCCACTGATGCCCTTTGTTTGGGATTTCAATATTATGCAATGGAGAATATCTGAAACGCGCAAAACGAATAAGAATTTGACGTTCTGAGAAAATGAAATGTTTGTTATGCTGCGATACTTGCGAGCTGCACCAGATTTTTACACAGTATCATAATCAAAACTCTGCCAGTAGGACAACCAATTTCTCTACGGTTCGTTTTTTTGCTTCCATAGAAAAGCCGTACTGGTACGCATCAGAGAGAATCAGAATAGCCATCAGCTTGCTTATAAACAACTCTCAAAAGAAAGTGCCATCGAAAGTACTGCCGATGGGCGGTTGCTGTTGATGCGTTTTTTGCAGCTATTCAATGCGGAAAACGCATATTGACGAGGGGTTATGTGTATATGTGTTTGTGTGTGCGTCTATCACGATTTTTCGTCTCAAGACCTACAAAAGCTACAGGGCTGAAATTTTGGGAACTTAATCTACGTACACGTACGAACCCTTGGCCCCAATTCCCAAAATGAGGGCGTTTACTCACGTGGTAGCCACGTAGGCCCGTGAAAGTTTTCTGCGGGTAAGTCACTAACTCTGGGACCAGAAAAACTAGAAAGTTAAAATTTTAAGGGGATGTTCCCGGTCCACGTAAGTCTCAATGAGCTCAGAACCAGATGCCGAGTATGCATGGTGCCCATACATGGGCCCACTACAGTTTTTTTCGGGCAAGTTGCTAAACCGAGAATTCGAAAAGCTAAGACTGTAATTTTAAGAAGATATTCCCTGTCCACGCAGGGCTCAATGAGCTCAAACCCACGTATGCGTAGTTCCCACATACGGGCCGATGGAAGTTTTTTCGGGTAAATTGCTAATTCGGGAAACTGAAAAGCTAGAAGACTGGAATTTTAACGAGATTTTCCCCGTCCAATAGGTACTAATGAGCTCAAATCTAATCCCCGCGTATGAGTGATTCCCACGTATGGGCCCGTGAAAGTTTTTTCGGGTAAGTGCTAACTCGGAAATTTGGGAAGCTAAACTGGAATTTTGAAGGAATGTTTCCGACAGCCCTGGTGGCCAGTCTGGAATTCTTCTAGCTAGGAGCATCTGCTGTAAAAAACAGTGCTGCTAGCGGCAAAAACCTGCGGGGAACTGTGCAGAAAACGCAACTTTATATGGGCTGTCCTTGCGTTGCAATTATCATAATTTTAGCAATTGTCAGGTCAGATAGTGAGAGCGGCCCACGCTGAAACGCACCAGGCTTGTCGGTGCGATCATAAGTTTTTGCACTAAGCTTGCAGGTCACTAGTAGCAGGAATGATCCCAACGCTGCAGCCTAGCACTTGGGCTTATACTGACCGTGCTTTGGCCTCTTCCGGCACGCAGGGGAAAGGGCGTCGGTTGAGAGAAGGTTTTGCATTATAGGGCCACATCAACTTCCAGGTACATGATTACCAGTTTATTGCATGAAGCCTGGTCGCTTTTCGGTAAATGCTTGATTTCTGAAAAAAAAATGCAATTTCCCAGCTCACTGAAAATCGAAAATATTGATCGAGCGGTCGTTCGTCAAAAAAAGCGAGTATGCAAATGAACTGAATGTTCATTTACATATTTGGATGAGGGCAGTCGTTCGCTGTAAAACATACTCGTTTTCGGTTTTTCGACAAAGCTGGGTATTTCTCACGCCCACCTGCAGGGAATTTTATCTCCAAGCAGAATTAAGGCCGCACTTGAAAATAGAATATCCGGCGAAGTTTCAGCCTCGAACTTTATCCGGTAAAAGAAATATCCACTTCACCACAAATATTTCTGAAGTGCCCTACGTCTTGGCGCAAGTGCAAATCAGTACTCTTTTCAGGTATACGATTTCCTATATGGGCGACAAACATGTTAACAAAATTTCAGCCACTGTTTCCCGGCAAGTTTTCGAGTATCGAATTGGAAATTTTGACTTGACCGTACGTGATGCACAAGTGTGCGACAGCTGATTTTGAAATCTTTAGTTAGCACATGCACGGAGAATATTCCTGAAAAGTTTCAACTTTGTACCTTACCTGGCTTGCAAAGTTGTTTCTAGCCAAAGAAATCTGCATATTTTTTTCGGGAGTCCGTGGGCGGGGTCTAGGCGCGCATGGGGCAAAATCTTAAAGACGGAGGATGACACATGAGGCAGGAACATATACCCAAAATTTCAGCCTCCCAGCTTCACTGGTTGCTGAGATGAAAGTGGGTGACAAAATGCACTCACTCGCTTCTGAACACAAACATACACACAGACAACCTCTCGACAATATGCGTTTTTGCTGGCTGTAGCAGCGCTACAGCGCTGCATGCCAAAAAAGAATAAAAATTGGCCAACGTACGGGCTGCCCGTGCGAAGATGCGTTTTTTGCAGAGTTGCACTGCCGGCACCGGTTTTTTCGGCAGACGCTTCTAGCTGAAGGAATTTCAGACGGGCCGCCAGAACTGTCAGGAAACATCTCCTCAAAATTCCAGTCTTCTATCTTCTCACGTTCTCGAGTAAGTAACTTACCCGGAAGAAACTTTTCACGGGCCTGTACGTAGGTACCACGCTTACTCGCGGTCAGGGTTTGAACTCGTTGATACCCACTTAGACAGGGAACATCCCCTAAGATTTCAGCTTTCTAGCGCCTCAGAACCCCGAGTTATGGATTTACGCAGGAAAAATCTTGGGGGGCCCGTACGCGGGTACCACGCTTACCCGGGAGCTGGATTTGAGCTCATTAGCATCTGCTTGGACAGGGAACATCTCCCTAAAATTTCAGCTTTCTAGCATCTCAGAACCCCGAGTTATGAATTTAAGCGGGAAAAAATTTTGGGGGCTCGTGCGCGGATATCACGCTTACTCGGGGGCTGGGTTTAAGCTCATTAGTACCTATTTGGACGGAGAACATTCCCGTAAAATTTCAGCTCTTTAGCTTTTCTGGTTCGCGAGTTATCAGCTTACCCGTAAAAAACTTTGGCG